TACCCGTGCCCCGCGGGCAGCTGCTTCTGAGGGCGGGGCCGGTGGAGTAGGTGTGCTGCAGGCCGGGGGACGCAGCCCCCCCTCCAGGGGCCCCCCGCCCTCGCCCCGGCACGGGGTCCTCACAGGTCCTCCAGCTCTCCCACCCCCCACCTCGTCCAGCCCGTTGCCAGATCTTCCTGCTGCTTCCGTGGGATCCGAGCCTGTGGATACCCACAGGGTCCCCACGGCCCCGCCCCCTACCAGGCACAGCGCAGGGCCCTCCCGCCTCATGCACTTGGCCCTGGTCCCGGGCGCTCTGCGGCCAAGCCTGTTCCCGCCGCCCTGTGTCCCTGCAGGAGGTCCACGTACCTGCAGAAGGAGCACGGGCTTAGGCCCCAGAAGCTGGTGGAAGATGCCCAGAAGAACCATCGGAAGGCCGTGAAGTTCCTGAAGGCCTCCCTGGGGAGGTACAGCCGCTCTCTTCTCTGCGGCCTCTCCTCGGCCTCCCCCCCCGCCCCCCGCCCCCCGCCCACACAGGGAAGCCTGAGAAAGTGGATCAGTTGCCTTCGTTTTGAAATTCTCCGATTTTATCATTGAGCCATCACCTCATCACCCAGAAAGAATAAATGTGTTTCCAGCTTTGAGCTGACGGCCGTCAGTTTCAGACGAGGACTCCAGCCTAGAGAAACAGCTTCCACATTTCCTCGTGGTCCACGCGCAGCCCAGCTCTTTCCCACTTGCCTTTAACACCGTGGCGCTTGGCTGCTTCCTTGGGGCTCCTGCCCCCGGTGGCTGCTGGGCCATGAGCAGGTCCTCCCCGCCAGGATCCGCAAGCAGGAGCGGAGAGAGGAGCTGGAGAGCCGCGAGCACGCGCGCCGCCGCATGGACGCCGTGCTGGCCCTGAAGAGCAGTATCTCCGCCAACCGGGTAGGACTGGCCCCACCTCCCGAAGCCCTCAGGATGCGCTCACCTGCCCTTGGACAGGCTCCCGCGCTCCGGGGGGACCCGGGCTCAGCGAGGCGAGTGCCGGAGCCCTGGGCCTTCCCAGGGGAAGTGATACTCTCCGGGGCCTGGGGGTCAGTTAGACCAGGGAAGCGGGGAGGGATGCGCAGTGAGCCGCCAGTCCAGTGGACACAGCGAGGCTCTGGCCTCGGGAAGCCCCTGAGGATTTTGGGGAGGGGGAAGCTGCGGGAGGCAGGTGCAGGTGGGAGCAGTGGTGATTTCCACAAACGTTGACCTTTGGCGTCTCCGGTACGATGTGAGGGCACCCAGCCCACAGAAAGCTCCATTGAGCACGCGTACACCTGTGGACGCTGGCACCTCCGTGTTCTCTATTCCCAAGGAGACACTCCGGAAATTTCAAGCATGGGGCCAGGCCAAGGCAGAGCTGGCGGAACAGAAGGCCCAGGCCGAGAAGGAGATGATTCTGGCCCAAGGTGGGGACGCTTTCAAGCACTTTTGCCACCAACGCCGGCGCCAGGAGCTGGAGGCCCAGAATTGGTGAGGGCCTGGTGGGGCGGCATCCCAGAGCGGTGGGCGGGTATGTCTGTCACAACCTGCGGCTAGGCTGCCTCTCTCCCTGGGCCTCCCCCCCCG